TGGGGTTCATCTGGAGCATAAACCAGGCATGGTGGCACATGCCTGTAATCCCAGAACTTGGGAGGTGGAGGCAGGAGAATTAGAAGTTCACGTCATTCTTTGCTATTTGGTGAGTTCAAGGCTAACTGGGGTTATATGATAATCTCTCTCTCAAGAAAAGAAAAAGGAAAAAGAAAGAAGGAAAGAAAGAAAGAGATGACTCAGCAGGTAAATGTGCACTTTCCACACAAATCTTGACCCAAATTCCATCCCTGGAATCCACATAAAAGCCAGATGCAGTGGTGCAAAATCCTACAGCAAGATGGGAGATAGCAATGGGAGAATCGTCTCGAAGCTCAAGGGTCGGTTAGCCAGGAGTGGGAAGCACAGCAGAAATTCGAGAGACCCTGCCTCAAAATCAAGGTGAAGGGCTGTTGACATGACTCAGCAGGTAAAGACACTTGCCGTTCAAGCCTGAGATGGTGGCCTGAGTTAAATCCCTGGAAATCTGTGTAAAGGTGGAAGGAGAGAAGTCCACAAAATTGTCCTCTGATCTCCACATGCCATAGCACGCATGCTCACATATACATCACACACAATTTATTATTTTTTTTTATTTTTATTTTTACCTGTGGAAATTGAGAACTGACTTCTGAAAGTTATCCTCTGACTTGCACACATATACTGGGGCATGAGTACGTGCCCACACTCACACATGAAACCCACACCCACAGCCACACCCAGAGTAATGATAAATTTTTTTTAAAGAATTTAAATGGCTGGGTGGTGGTGGCACATGCCTTTAATCCTAACACTCAGGAGGCAGAGGCAGGCAGATCTCTGAGTCTGAGGCCAGTCTGGTCTAGAGAGTAAGTTCCAGGGTGGCCAGGGCTACACAAAGAAACCCTGTCTTCAAAAGGGGGGGGGGAGGAGCTTAAATGTCACAAGGCCCTGCACATGAAGCACTTTACACACTGTATTGAGAGCAAGAGGTGTATGTTACTGAACAGACACCTTCCACTCTCCAGATCCTGCCTAGACTTCTGGATAGCAACATCCCAGTTGGCACATGCAGGGTTAATATTCCTGCCGCCTTGGCCACAGTACCCTGTCTATTGTTGACCTAATTTTACTAGCCTTTAATTATTTATCAAAGTGGCTGTATCCCATTCTAGGCTGTGAACACCTTGAGGGCTAGGACCCCGGCACATTAATCATTATTAGCATTGGCGTCCCGCAGTGACTGGCACATAGTTGCTGCTCATTAAATGTTTGTTGAATGAGTGGAGTTACTAACACTGTCTTTCCCAGTGTCCCTGGGATTTTAAAGACTGCTCTCTCTGCAAGGCCATTTTCCCTGGCTCCATCCTTTGGACCGAGGCTACGGTGAGTATGATCTACAGACTGATATGGGTCTGCCAATTATGTTTCTAGTGTATGACAAGGTAAGTGGAAAACTGAGAATGAGTGTCCAGACATGCCAAAGCAATCTGATAGTCATGGAGGCCTACTGGATCTTCCAAGTTTTTAATTATGCTTTTATTTTATGTGCCTTCATTTAATTTTTTTTTCATTTCCTAGTCATTTATTCCCACTGTATTTACAATAGTGTCAGCTGTGACCAATTAGAAATGTGAAAATAGCTAGGTTTGATGAAGCATGCCTATAATGATGGAGTGCTTGGGGGACAGAGGCAAGGAGATTGCCTGTAGTTGGAGAGTGAATTCCAGGCCAGACTGGGCTACCAAGACCCTGCTGCAATCAATAAATAGGCCTGGTTCTTAGTCACAGGTGACCTGAGAGGTCCCATTGTTCACCACATAGGTGCATGCACACACTGCCACTGTCCTTACACCTCTTTGATATCTGGAAGGCCAATCGAATGTCTTTTATTTCTGTTTGGGTTTCTTATGCTGCTCCTTTCTTTGGAAGTGTTACTGAGCGAAAGCTGATTCCTGCTTGGACCTAGACTGAATAGAGGGCAAAAGAGGGAGCCATAGGAAGAGAGTGTGGGAAGGCTCAGGCTGGGGAAAGAGGGGCTCCTATGGGGTGGAGCAAGTCCAGAGCAGGCCATGGAGAAGTTGTCCAGGAGATCACCCAGAGCATCAGGTTGTGGGTGTAGGGTGACGGCAGAGATTGGCCTACAGTATCTTCCCTGGCAGAACAGCAAGGCAAACCTTTGAAGGTAAAAGGCTGCAGTTTCCAGACAAATACAAGGGGATGCTGAGGACTGTTGAACCACGGCTCTCAGAACAAGTTAAACCCAGGCACGCACCCCAAGCCCCCACTCCAGCCTGGGGTGCCTGATGGAGGTTGGATCAGGGACTAACACAGCCAGGGTGAGCAGCACTGGCTGGAGACACCTCAGGGAGAAGATATTCACCAGCTTAAAGCCAGAAGAGCCAGAGCTGATTTCTGTCAACGATGGCATTAGCATACTTAAAGATCATGTCAAGGGGAGGAGGGTGAGCTCCGAGGAAAGCTGCTGCTGTTTACTGAGTCTGGGGAGTCAGAATCCAGAGAAGCAGCCCTGAAGCTGTCTTTCCCCCAGAAACTGTGCTCCAAGGCCAGGGTTGGGATGTGGCCCTGGAGACAAGCTAACCTCTCCTCCCCTCCTCCATTCCACAGTCCAGGGTTCCAGAGCCCTTCTCAAGAATCTACTTCCTGCCAAGAATTTCCTGGAAGACCACCCAGTCCACTCTATCTCGAGGATGACCATGAGAGGGACTATATGTCAGGCACTGTGCCAAGTCCTCTCTCTTCAACGATTCTAGGAGATGCGCATTCCTGTGCCCATTTAATAAATGAAAATATCGAGGCCCCACTAAATCATTTTCCAGAACTGTTCAGCTTGAACTCAGAAGAGCCTAGACTCCAGTCCAGGCTGCCTGACTCAAGAACCAGTAGGCTACCGGGTCACTCTGTATTTCCTTTTGCTGGCAATCTGTTTAGTATGTCCATGCATCCATCTCTCTGGGACTGAACTGAGTCACTACCCCGAACCTGAAGAACCAGGGCTCTGCCTCACCTGGACTGTGTATACATACACACACACACACACACACACACACACACACACACACACACACACACACACACCAATGGCTAAGCAATATGACCAGTGGGTCTCGGCAGTGCTCCTTTTACCTCAGTAGCCACAACCCCATCAGAGCCAAGACCTCCAGGGCCATTGAGCTGGGAATTAGGAAGGAGGATACTGTCTATGGGGGATTTGGACCAGCCATGCTCCACAGTGCCTCGGTTTCCTCACTAATAAACTATCACACGACCAACAGCAACTCCAGCTCCAAAATGGCTATCAACAGGGCCTCTAGATGTGATGGATCTCGCTCAGTGTGCTGAGAACAGAGTATAAAGGAGAGGGGTTGCACAAAGCATAGAGTCCAGAGCAGCAGCCAGACACAGCTGGATCTCAAAGTCAGCTGGTCCCGGCACTAGGACCCTGCCTCTCTCGGGGGCTTCTGTGTACTCAGGAGCAGCCACCACAGATTCTAAGGGGTGAAGATGTCTCTTCCTCTGAGAAACTCCTTTTCTCCCTCTCCAGCTCCCGCTCAGGAAGGAAAAGGGGGAGGAAATCAAAAGAACAGTCCCTCTAACGGGCCTGAAGGTGGCGAGAGCTGCTTTTCAGGCTGGAGTGGAGTTAGAAAGCTAACCCAGATGAAGACCCTGAGGTCTAGCGGGACAACCCACTCCAACCCCAAGAGCTTGGTCAAGAGGGGGCGCTGTGGCCTCCTCCACGCCCTGCCCGCTGGATTCCCAGCTGTGAGCATAGGGCCGCAGCACAGTGCGCGCCCGCTTTGCCCTCGGCACAGCCCAGGTGCCCAGCACCGCTGTCTCCACTTCATCTTGCAGATCCTAAGTAGGGCCTGGATCAAACTGGCAGACTCTTAGTTTGAAAAATGAATGAATGAAGGAACGAAAGATTGAAAAAGGAAAGGCTCCTGCTGCGGAGCTCTGGTGTCTCAGCACCCTCTGGGTGTGTCTAGGCCAAAAACGCCGGGGTGGGGGTCGGGCCCGGGCTCCCTTCCCTACTGAAGTGGGGGTATTGGTGGACCTCCTGGCTGGCTGCAGGGCGGGAACGACCCAAATGTAGTTCCCCGCTTCTTGTTTCCACCTTGGCTGAGCTTGGTGGAGATGGCCCTATTCTCCAGCTCCTATTAGCCTCCTAAATTCCCCAGAGCCCCTCAAGTCCCCCGAGACCCCCGATTCCCTTGGTCCCGACCACCAGCCGCACAGAAGGCGAGAGGAGAGAAGCTGACTGCTCTCCCGCCGCCGCCTCCCCATCCCTGGTTCTCCCAGAGCTGCAGCGGCCGCCGCCGCTGCCTGCGCGCCCCGCTCACTGCCGCAAGCCAGGGTGCAGGGGAGAGGGGGGTCAGCACGGCCAGGGCGCAGGGAGCCGGTCCCCGGCTGGGCAGCGAACAGAGAGGGCGGGAGCCGGCATCCAGCGGAGGGGCGAGGCGCGGAGGAGGGACCGGAGGAGAGGGGAGGGGAGGGAGAAAGAGGAGGGGACGCGAGGCGAGGGGGCGGGGAGCCGAGGCGAGCGGCAGGCGGACCGTGGGGGAGGCGGCGGGGCGACGCGGGTTCCAGGCGGGAGAGAGGTGGCGGCGGGCCGGGCTGAGTAGGGAGACGGCGACCAGACTTGCTCGCGAAGGGCGAGCCAGAGCAGACCGGCGGGGCAGGGCGGAAGGGCGCGAAGCCGGGTGCCTGGGAGCAGCGCAGAGGCCCGGGAGACCCACCGCCCCCCGGAGACCGCAGCCGCCCGCTCTCCGCTCTGGGATGTCGGAGGGATCCTGGCATCGGGGACGCTGACGGTGCGAGCCCGAGGATGGGACGGCGCCCGCAGCTCCGGCTTGTGAAGGTAAGAGCGGACCGGCCCGCCGGGGATCAGAGGCGCTCTGGGCCGGGCAGGCGCAGGACAAGCGTGGGCAGGGGTGCTGGGGGAGGGGAGCAGGGAACCCGGCGCGTCCCGGGAGGCTTGGGTACAGCCTGGTGCCCTCTACCTGGACCTCTGAAGCCTGGCTTCGGAGACAGAAGAACTCCGATGGAAAAAGAACCGATGGTGGCGAACCGGCTGCGGTGCTAGGGGAGGAGGAGGGGGTCCGCCCACTCGAGGAACCGGCTCTACGCGAAGAATCGCTGCAGTCTTAGGGGCCGAAGCGACGTCCCCTTCAAGCTCTGGAGGGGGTTCCCGTCTCCTCCGGACTCCCTCCGAGCCGCCCCTTTCTTGGTCCTGGGCGCGCTTTCCTGCCGGTTCCCCTCGGTAGAAAGCCTCAGGTTCCGGAGGTAGATGCGGCCGGCGCCTCGCGGCCCTCTATCCACGTAGCATCTCTGGGATGCGACGGTGCCGCGCGCCCCAGTGTCCGGCCGGCCCGGGCGCAGCAGCCTCGGAGCGCAACGCTTTCTCTCCAGCCGGCGGCCGCTCTCGCTCTTGCCACCGGGCTGGGGAAGCGGTACCACAGCCCGGAGTTTCGTAAAGTCTCCAGTAGGCGTTTACAGCGCCTGCTGGATGAAGTTCGGGGGCGACCTAGGACTTTGCGGGGGTGGACAGAGCCAGGGAAGAGCTAAGTGCTTCACAACCCAGCCCGCAGCTCAGGGACAGGCGTCACTTTGCCTGTGCCAAGCGCGTCCTGGAGCGCACGGGCTCGCTGGGTACCAGCACCTCAGCGCTGATGCCTGGGAAGGTGAGTGGGTCTGGGCGCCGCCGCCCGGCCGGCCGTCCCAGTTGCCACGCCTGGGTCTCAGGGCCGACAGGGACCTCCTGGGCCCCAAGCAGAGACACCGGGTTAACTGTGGCCAGAGCATTCAAATGCCATTGCATTCAGAAGATTAAGTAGATTTAGGGGACAGGAGTGGGATGAGGGTGAGCAGTGGTGGTTAACGGACTTTTTCATCAGTTATTAAACTGTACATTTGCTTGCTCAAAAAGCATTTGAGTTAAATCATCACGCTTTTAAAATGTGACTTACTGCCCCGCTCACCAGTGACTCAGGTTCCCATGTCCTCCCTCTCCAAATACTCAAAGGTTGTCTTCAAATCTGAGGTAGTCTCAGTGAACCTAAGGGCTGGGGCCCAAGATTATTTTCTGGGCGACCGAAGTCTCCCGCAAAGAAAGTAGGGAGATTCAGGGAGGTGGCATAGGTAAGCATCAGTGGAAGTATTTTCCCAAGCTTCTCTGTGTACTGAGCCCTGATCGAAATTCACAGAGGGCTTAGAATGCAATCTTGTAAGCGAATTCAAAAGATTTGGGCTGTGGATATTTTTTTTTTCAAGTTTACCTGGAAATCGATGAATGTTCTTTCTCAAGCCCTTCTTAGAATTGCATGCAATGACCTGTTTAGAATGTTCACATTTTCTTAAACTAAAAAGGCTCTTTTTCCTCTTGTTCCTACTGACTAGTGGGCGTTGGGGGACTTGTCCCACCTGATACATTCAGCCAGTTCTCAGGAAATACCAACTGAGGTGCAGTTAGTGTGGTATTTGTATTCCACACACACATTTCCTGGTGGTAGTCTGGTTGCTTTATAAATACTAAGTCATTTCGTCTTCATAGCAGTCCAAGAAGTAGGAATTATATCCTATAGAGGATCTAAGCTGCTTGTTCAGAAAGGGGCACCATAGCTTGGCTGTCAGCAAACCTGACTTTGCCCTCAGCGTCTGCACACAGAATCCGAACCCAGGCACTCCTAACTAGGACTTTGTTTCGTCGGCTTTTGTCAGTAAAAATTCTAGCCACTTAAAACCCACTCTCAATCCCTACCAGCCTTGAGCCTGGGAGTTTCATCAGTTTGAACAAAGGAGTCCAGGGAACTTGGAGATCATGCAAAAACCAGTTCTGTCAGACAAGCCATGCTGGGAAAAGGGTCACTCAGGGGCCCATAGTGTGGGTTTCACATTGAACTGGTTATGGAGCTTTGTGGGAGAGTGTAAGAAAGATGAAGAACGTGTGTGTGTGTGTGTGTGTGTGTGTGTGTGTGTGTGTGTGTGTGTGCCTGCGTGTGCACCAAATGAAGGGAGATATGCGTGTGGAGCGTCTGTGGCTAAGAATACAGGTGAGACATGGTCCCTCTCCCTATCACCCCACTAGCTGCTCTTCCTGGAGACAAGTCTATGTTCTGGTGACAAGTGACTCCTGACAGTGACTGCGGGGTGAACCAGGCCTCAGTGGGTTCTTAAAGGACAACGAGTGTCCAGTGGCTTCCAGGGGGGCCAGTTGCAATGCTCTTGTTATTGCTTATAGCGATTTAGAAGCGTTCGGCACAGTCTACAAACCAGAGGAGGAAAGGACTGTGACATCATTCCTTCCATGCTGCTGTGACCATTTTAACAATGATCCTTGCTGGTCCTGTCTTTAAAGATCAGGTCTGGGCATTGCTGTGACTATGGACAGCCCTCTCTCTTGTAGTGTCACCACTCTCGTCTTGTCCCATGCCATTTCTGAGCCTTCCGAAGGAGACTGCCCTCCGCTGTGGAATGGCCATGGTTGGCTATGAGTGGTCCTCTCTTCCCTTGTTTCTTTGCTTACATAATAATGGAGTTGGGTTTTCTAGAGGTGCTGGGAAGAATAGAAGGGGGAAAAAAGTGAGCCATGGTGGGACTGTAGGCTGTGGGTTATGCAGTGGCCTGGTCACAGACCTGAAGCAGGGTAGGAAAGGGAAGCCATGGGATTTGCTATCCAGCCTAGGGAGAAACTTGGCAGCTCAGCCCCTTCTCAAAGCTTGCAGACAGGAAAAAGCAACCCACTGGCCTGGAGCTCAAGTCGAAAATCCATTTCTTGCCCTTGCTGACATTTGACTCCTGTGGGGGCCTCAGCAGCCAGCAAAGATCGGCCTCACATCTTTAGGGGTCAAATGTGCCCTTCGGCTCCACTGTCCACGTCCAGATTCCTGCCGAGGGCCTGAGCTCTAGTCCCAGGGAGTGGGAATGATGGGGAAGTAAGACCGCCATAGAGGCAGCAAGGTGTAGGGCTGAGAATTTCAGTAGTGGGAGGGGTAGGCATCCGCTCAGTGGTCAGCAAGCCTGACTTTGCCGTTAGCTCTGCATCCAAGGGGCTGTGTGATTTCAAGTAGGTCCCCTTCCCTCTCTGAGCCACAGTTGCTCTGTGCCTGAGCGTGAACTGACTCCCTTTACCCATTTGTCCTGCTAGAAGGGTCCCAAGAGCTCTTCAGGGCTGTGGCCTTACTTGGGAAGAGCAGGTCCAGCAAACTGAGTCCTAGCTCTGCTCCTCTTCATCTGGGGAGCTCACTGTGTGGGGACCAAGTACTCTGCTCTGAGCCTCAGTAGTCCCATTTCCCCTTCATAGCCCTGGACCTGAAAAGCCAGTGAATAGAGAACGTGTTTACCAGATACCTAAAATGAGGGTTACGTACCACCTTCTCCTTTTAGTTGATACAGTTGATGAAGGAATCCTTGTTGCCCCCATGGGACATGGATGTCACCTCAGAACAGAGAAGCCAGAGAGACGTGGAGGCTTAAATGAAAAAGCAAAAAAAAGCCATGCCACCTCAGATATGGAAAACACTAGAACCCCACTGTAAGCCACTGTGGTCATCCCAAAGGAGAAAAGAAAGCTGCAGGCACCAGGACAGATCACACCGGTGGCCTGCAGCCTCAGGAGGCTGGAGATGCAGCCATGTAGGGCGGCTGAAAAGGTTGAGTGAGCCCCGCAGGGTCCTCCCCTTCCTGCCTCCTTCTAGGGGACAGGAGAGCTGGCGGATGCCGTCTCTCATCTCAGATTCCACCCTGGCCATTTCTGGACTCTCTGGAAATGAGAGCCCATTGGGGACAGAAGGACAAGCGGAGATTTTGACTGCAGTTTTCTGGTCTCATAATGAATTGTTAATTAGAAATGACCCCTGTTCTGTGAGAAGTCCCAGTCAGCAAGCCATACAGCAATTCCTTTTAAAATGCTCTTCACCAGACATCTTACTCCTGGCCAGGCGTTTGCTTGTGGGACTTGGGAACGTCGGTGAAGCAGATGTGGGCTTGAATCCTGGCTCTGCTATGAGGCTCTGAGAAGCAGGGTTAGCACCCTGATCTGTTTCTTCATGGTTTAAAGGATGGGAGAAATGAAGCTGGAGAGATTGCTCAGTCAGCATTGTGCCTGCATGAATGTGTGAGGACCTGAGTTCGGGTCCCCAGAATCCACATATAAAAACTTGGGTATGGCAGTTTATGTTTGTAACTTCAGCGTTTTGGTGAGTGGGGCGGGGCATAGTAAGACAAGTGGATCCCTGAAGCCCATTCATTTGCTACCAGCCCAGCCTAGCCTAATCCATGAGCTTCCGCATCCGTGAAAGACCCTGTCTGAGAAAAATAATGATGAAGAGTCATAAAGATATCTGATATCCATCTGTGTCCCACATACGTGCACAGATGAGCATGCATTACCCACACTAACAAGTACACATATCACACACACAACACAATATCCATACACACTCTCCCCAAAATTGGGAAAATGGGGTAACCATGACTTCCTGCACTGCTGGATGTGGGTATGAGCTAGAGCGGTCCTATAAGATATCCCAGCAATGACTCCAGTCTAAGAAAGGCCATTAAAAGTGGGGAGGGGCTGGGGATTTAGCTTATTTGGTAGTGTTAGCCTAGCACACAGGAAGTCCTAGATTTGACCCCCAGCACTGCATACACCAGGCATGGTGGCTCATGAACCTGTCATTCCAGCACTCAGCTAATAATAATAATTAGAAGTTCTTGATCATACTGGGCTACATAGTGAATTCAAGGCCAGCCTGGGCTACATGAGACCCTATCTTAAAAAAAAATCAACCAAACAAAAATAAATAAATAGAAACTAGAAGAGGGGGAGAAGGAGGGAGAGGAGGGAGGGGCAGGAGGAGTGGGGAGGAGGAAACATCCCTGGGGGAAAGGCTAGAGCCACCAGCCTGCAGCCGAACTCAAGGTCAGGGGCCACACGGACCTGTGGAAACGTCTGTCAGTAAAAGTAGACACTTGCAAGGAGGATGATACGATGTGATTAGCTTTTGGGTACAAGCAATTGGTTTGAAAACAACTCCTTGGAGTCTGTCAGGCAACAGAGTATTAACCACTGATTTTCAGTGGAAGTAAAAGGCAGGACGGCT